CGACGATCCAACGCCGCACCACAGACATATACGCTCGATTATTCTCGCCTCAAGGAACGCCTAAGGACCATATTGGGCATATCTGCATCCATTTTCAAGCATCAGGCCGCTTCCCCGCTTGAGCCTCTGCTGCGCTGCCGCCACATCTCAGAGAGCGGGCGCTTGGGGGGAGGTTGGGTCAGATGTGATCGGTGTGCGTGAGGGTGCGCAACTGTGTCGTCCCGGCATACGCGATCCTAGTTACCAACCTGCCGCTGCCGCCGGGAGTCGGGACGTTTTGTCGACTCGCCTTTCAGTGCCGCTTCGGACGTTGTCTTCTCTTGCTTTTTCCTCGTGTCGCCTTGGTGAACCCGATGGATTGACAGCCAGTCAGCCAGCCAGTCAGCCGATAAGCCATGGGATCAACAGCGATTATTGTTGGGCTCCACCGAACGACCACGTTCTGCGGACCTCGTACGATGGTCTAACCTTATCCAAACATAATCTTTCCCCCCTTCCAAACTGAACCTTGATCCTTCCTGCCCACTCATCAACTGCGGAATTCACTTGTATACTTTTTCTTTTCTTTCCAAAAGCCTGTTTAAGCGAACTCTTACTAACTCTGTTCCAACTTAGGCCTTTCTCTAAACTGCCGCGTCCGCCTCCTGCCCGAATCAGATGCTCGTCGCGGGACGATATCCTATATTGGACTTGTGCCTGAGATTCCCGGGATTGGCGTATGGATCGGCGTTAGGCTTGACGAGCCAACTGGTAAGAACGATGGGAGTGTCAAGGGTAAGCGATACTTTGAGTGCGGTGCCAATTGTGGTGTCTTTGTTAGGCCGGAGCGGTGTGAGGCTGGGGATTTCCCTGCGCTGAATGAGTTTGGGGATGATGAGGATTTGGAGGAACTTTGAAGAAAGGGGGAAGCGGGGATAACACGATGGAAGGTAGGACGGATACTGTCTTGCTAGTCAGGTAGACAGGTAGGTAGGTAGGTAGGTAGGTAGTCTATCTGTTTAGGTCAGCCTGAGCAGGCGTGCCATAGGGGGGATTCACAAGGTGCACATCAAGATACAATGAAAAAGACTCGATGATGAAAAAGAACCCCCCTTTTAGGGTTTATAATTGTCGTTATACTGCTACTGAACTTTTATCTAGATTACTTGCTTGCATCAGAAACTACACAATAACAACGATAACCAAGATAAGAAAAAAAAAAGAAGAAGACGAATCGCACAAAGATTCAATGGGAAAACATTCTAACCTGACCTACTACATACCTACCCAGATGATCATCTATGACAAAAAAAAAAAGGGATTTGTTCATTCATTCATCACTATAAAATTGCTCACTCATAACAATGCATGCATCGTTGTAACCTAAAAGAGAATCTTCCTCTACGTCTCACAGCCGTCTCTATGCCTCATACGCTTTTTTCTTCTTCTTCTTTACACTCACACTGCCTTCCTTCACTGGTCACTACTTACTGCTTTCAATACCCATTCGCCCCCAACCACTCCCTAACCACCCCACCATCCCTCTCCGCATAACTAGCATAACTTCTTATCGTATCATCCACAACATCCAACCCCTTATTATACCCTCTAGTATCCTTATCCTTGAAAAACCTTTGAATATCATCCGCAGTCTTCACATCCGTAAACTTGTTCAAACCAAACCTCAAAAACCTCTCCAGCACAACAGGGTTACCAGCAAGTGCAGGATGAACTTTAGTGTCCCAGTTTTCTTTAACATAGTTCCACACCTCTGGTCGTACTTTGGAGTTGTTGGCAAGAGCAATCGTCGAAGAGTGCTTGTCTTGCATGGCCACCTTATCCGAGAAGACAAAGTCCATGACCTGCTTTGCAAGGTCGGGCGTCTGTACGCGGCCGAGAGAGCCGAGGCAGATTTCCTTGCCGTCGATTGATGTTGTGTTGAGGTATTCATTCATGACAGCCTTCAGCGCTGACTCACCGCGGTTTTTAATCGCTGTGGCGAAGACGGCCCGGCGAAGCGAGGGATGAATGGCCTTGTTGTCACCCTTCTCGATATAAGCGTCAAATCGCTTCAACGCTTCCTCGACGGTGGCCTGGTGGCCGACGATGCCAGCCGACAGAAGCAGACTGGCGCGCAGTTGACCAACAAGGTAGCTCTCTCCATCCTTGAACTCCCAGCCAACCTTCTCGACGGCCGGCGTGATGAGCTTGAGGTGGTACTTCCTCAGTCCCTCGCTGATATCTTCGCTGCCAGAGAACACGCTGCGGACGTTGCCAATGTTGGTGAGGATCTGAGACCTAAGCGTGAGAATACAGAGTCAGCATATGCCTCACATATAGTTCATATAGGGATAGTAACTGACCAAACCAAATAATCAGATTCGTCTTGGAAGCGCTCCGCCAGCGCGAGCAAGCCAGCTGTAGATCCATAGCCCGCGACCGCGTTTGCATACGCATCACCAACGAGGCCGATCTTGTCTTGTACAGTGAGCTGATCGCGGTCCTCGCCGAGTTTCTTGAGGCGGTCGGCGGGGTAGTTGGTGCGGTAGAAGCCAGTGAGGTCCTTGTTAAGGAGGTAGAAACCATCCTTGACATCACGAATTGTGTCCTCCTTCTGCGTCATAGCAGCAGTCTTGTGAACCTCCGTGGTAGACGCAGAATCGCCCGTGTGAAGACCCAGCGGAATCCACCACGTTGTTTCATCCTCCTCGGGTTTGACATTACCAGCAAGCAAGAAGCGTTGCTGGCGCAGGCCAATCTGACCAGGTTCTTCAGCAACGGTGACGACTGGGAAGCCGATTCTCCGAACCCAGAGGTCCATGAAGGTGTTTACATTCTGACCAGACGCCTTGCTCAAGGCAGACCACAGGTCATTGGTTGTGGCATTAGAGTACTGGTGAGCCTTGAGGTAGTCGGCTACACCTTGGAGGAAAACCTTCTCACCGAGATGAGCGCTCAGCATGCGGATGACTGAGGAGCCCTTCAGGTAGGAGATGTGGTCAAAGATCTGGTCGACCTCGAGACCGTCGTATACGGGTACTTCGATGGGATGCGAGGTTCGGAGTGCGTCGAGTGCGAAGGCTTGTTGTACGGAATCAGTCTAGAAGACATGGTCAGCGGGCTGTTAGAGCAGATACCTCGAGATTTATGACGCACAACAAACTGTCCCCATACGTTCCATTCTGGGTAGAGATGGTCAATGGCAAGCCATCCAACCCATGTCGCGAAACCCTCGTTGAGCCAAAGCTCACTCCACCAATCCATGGTAACGAGGTTACCGAACCATTGGTGGGCAAGTTCGTGAGCTACAACGTAGGCAACCCTGTTGCGGTAGCTATCGGCAGAGGTCGCAGGGTCGAAGAGCACTGCAGTAGTTCTGTAGGTAATGAGACCCCAGTTCTCCATGGCTCCATGCGAAAACTCATGAACAGCCAGCAAATCAACCTTGGGCAGCGGGTAATCGATCTGGAAGACCTCGGAAAAGTAATCCACAATTTTGTGGCAGTTGTCCAAAGCAAAGCGTCCCTGCTCCTTCAGACCACGGGTAGTGTAAACCCTAACAGGAATGTTCTTGCCATTGTACTTGCGCTCAGTGTGCGCCTCGACGTACTCAAAGTCACCGATAGCCCACGCTAGGAGGTAGGTAGACATGATAGGTGATCGCTCGAAGACAACTGTGTGGAAACCATCCCTCTTGCTAGGCTTAATCTCCTTCTCCGGCATGTTGCTGAGCGCGACCTGGTCCTTGGGCACTTCGAGTTCGACGTCAAAGGTAGCTTTCAGATTCGGTTCGTCGAAGCAAGGGAAAGCACGGCGAGCGTCGCAGGCTTCGAATTGGGTGCTGAACATGTAGTGGAACTCGTCGTCCTTTGCAACGGAAGCCGGGACGTCGCCCTTGGGCTTGTACTTGGAGCGGTAGAAGCCGGCCATGATGTTGTTGACGAAGCCGGAGAATTTGATGGAGAGTTGGGCCTCGCCGGTGTAAGTGATGTTCTCACCAAAGTCGAGCGTGACTTGTTGTCTCTTCTCATCGTAGGATATGTCCTTTGCTGAGAATGTCTTGTCACCGGCCTTTAGCTCAGCGCTTTGGAGCTTGAGCTGATGTGCGTTGAGGACTAGGGTGTTGAAGCCGTCGTCCTTTGTGATGTTGGTCGTGATGTCGACAGTGCCCTTGTAGCCAAAGTTGCCGCCGAATTCGAGGTCATGGAGGGAGAGGGCATAGTGGGAGGGTTTGGCCCTGGAAGATATCAGCTATCGGCCTGCAATAGAGTTGACACGACTGACCATGCCGGGAGAACATCGCGATCTGAAGCCATGTTGACGAAGCTGCTAGTGACTTCGCTTTGACAAAACCTCTTCTGTATGCCAAAGGTGTTTGTGGTAGCTACCGCAAACCTCGGTCTGAGGCGTAGTTGTGTACGTGGGGCAGATCCAGTCTCTCTAGCTGCAGAAGAGAAGCTTCTAGAGCGGATGGAGTGGGTCGGGGTGGTGTTTAAGAGACGCGTCGGCGTACTTGTCTTCACTCTGCTACGAGTCAATTGTCGAGAGCAGAGTCTCGCGGAAGCGGATAGAGCAGCCAGGGTGAAGGCGCAAGGAGAGCGGGGCGAGAGCACAGCAGCAAAAGGAGGGGAAGTGTGCAATCAATTGGTACTGGGTGAGACGATGCGTCTGCATGTGTGTAGGCTTAGAGGGGAAGGTGCGCGTGCGGCAAGCCGAACTGCCCCACCTAGGTAGCCATCCCTGCTTCTAGGGTTTAGCGCGGGGTCTTTTACATGTCTCTCTGCTGGATTGACATATCATAACTGAGATATCATAGTTGAGATACCATGGCCTGAAGAGCAGTCATCTCGGAAAGGCAGTCATCTCGAAAGCAGTATGCCATTGACGCCATGCAAATGCTCCAATTCACGCCCTCGATGCAGACACTTCCAATCCCAACCCATCACAAGACCAGAGAATGGTATTCGCAAGTCTCTCAGCCATCTGTCATACATGCTCTCCCCCTTCCCAGCCCTGTCCGCCTAAATCCGGATCAAGACATCCAAACACTGCACCCGCCACTCCTTCTTCCCCAACAACCCCTTGACCCACTCATAACTCTGTCCTTCGCTCCCACTCGCCTGTCCCAAGCCAACCCTCCCCTTGACTCCCTCCACCGCCGCGCCCACCCCAGCCTTGACCGTCGCATTCACTGCCTGCGCCAACATGCCAGCGCTTTCCGCCACAGTCCCATTCAGCGCCAGCTCCGCACTATCCGACAACGGCGCATCGAACCACGGTGTGTGAAAGTCGAAGAGCGCGACGACGAGGATGAAGAGGAGGAGGCTGCAGTACACGCACGGTCGGTTTAACAAGTATGTGGCCGAGATGAAGAGGACGAGGTAGACGGGGGAGGCGTGCGTTCGTAGTCTATGCATACTCTTGTTAGAATGCCATGCCATACGATGCGCCGGACATGGGCGAGGGCTCACAAGAAGAAGAGAACTGGAATCCAGCTCCGCAGGCAGAACATGGTCGTGTGTCGTTCCCTAATCGTGCGCCCGGTCGTGTGAGCGCGCACTTTTCGGCGATAACAACAAGTTGAGGCTGATTCTGGGGGGACAGCTTCAAAGTGCTGACGAATGCGACAATTCTTTAGAAAAAAAAAAGTAGGTTGGTGAATAGGAAGCAGCGAACGGATGGAGAATGAACAAATGCGTTTGTATGGTTTTGGGATAAGGAAAAGGTTGAGGGTTGCTGACTGCCGGCAGCGAAGGTAGTCCGGAGTTACTGGCGGCCGCCGATATTAGCGTCTTTTGATTGGCCGCTCCCTTCACCTGCGCACAAGGCTGAGCGTCAAGCACCCCGAGGCTGCAGCCGGTGGCGCATCCATGCATGCATACTGCTTCTCACGTGTCTCAGCCTTATCGGGCGCTTCACTCAATGTAGCACGTATTCATTTCTTACAAGGTATTTTCCTACATGCGCACCGCCAATCGCGTTACGACGCCTAGCTTACACAGCTAGTCGACTGTCATATCCCAACCAACCCTTCCTCCCTAGAATGCCTCCAGATGCCAAAACGCCCACTTAACACAGATATGCCGATATACGAAGCAATGGGGCCGAACTCGGCCACCAGCAGCAGAAAGAGAGCAGCGTCCTTGCGCGCGGGGGTCTATACGGGCAGGTTGAACTTCTTGCCTTGGATGACCCTAAACTACGTTAGCATGCCGACCAAAGCCTCAGTGTATCCTCCAAGACTTACTTTGTGTAGTAAATGTAGAAGAAGTCAGAGTACAAAATAGTCTGGATGACACCCGCAATCACTGCAATGGGATCGTAGAACTTGGGCACCTCGCGAATGTAACGGTAGATCCAGTTGGGGATGTACAGAGCCCTGTAAGCACCCAGCGCAAAGAGGTAGTGCGTCGTAATTGTCTCCGCCTCACCCGTCCTCTGCAGCATGAACAGCTGCGGCAAGATGGCAACCGATTCTAGCCAGATGGAGAAAGCCCAGAGTATCTCCGTGAATGTGTATTTGTAGGGAAACAGTATCGCCAGCACTGCGCTCGCGCCCAGCAGGTATTGCACCTTGAACGTGTCTAGATTTGGGTCGTGTGTCGGCTTGTAGTCGTTGAGCATGAGGTAGACGGTGTAGGCCGAAGTGCTGATGAAGATGATTTTGAAGATGGTGTTGTAGAGCGACTTGGGTTCGTAGAAGGTCCAGAGGAGGTCGACGTAACGCGTGAGGTAGACGATCAGGTAGAGGAATTGCGACTTGAACGAGATACCAGATGCGCTCTGCAGCGTGTCAATCGATACGGCGCATTACTTGTGCACGGGGAATCAACATACACTCGACACCTTCATCTTGTGCAGCAGAATCAGGATGGATAGCAGGTGGGATAAATCCCCTAGACCGTGTTAGCATTTCCATCCATACGCACGAGCATTGTTGTCGCCAAGCTTACCCAGCAGTCGGAAGAGGTTCATCATCGCGGGCAATGGGTCGCGACTCGAGGCGTGGTGGAGGGTTGTGTGTTGGTGTGCCTGGCATAAAAAGACACGTTCCGACTGCTGCATCACGTAGGGATGGAGCTGCGCATCCTTGCATGCCAAGACCCGCCCCTGTCGCTTCACGTCATCCCGATCGCCGCTACCCCCCGTAGCACATCCGCAGTCGTTCGCGTTGCCCATCCACTCGACGTTCCGTATACACTTGAGAACACTCTACTATGGCCCATCTGCTTGGTTGGAAAGACATTCTTAGGCCAATCCGCGATGGATACCGCCATCTCTTTCCTACCCCCGACACTGGGCCAACGCCTGAAGAGCGACGCAGACAGCGCCAAGTAGATCGCCTGAAGGGCTTCGCCTACTTCGATACATTCGAGCAGTTGGAGTCGTGGAAGGAAGACGATTCTGATCCGCTGCAACGAGCCAACACGCCGCTGCTACGCGGGACCGACGGCATTGAGAGGGGCGGCGTCGTCAAAGTCCCCGTTCTATTAATCCATGACTACTCTGGCAATTACCATGACTACGAAAGCATCAACGCTGTTGACGTGGACAGAGAGTTTTATTCGTGTGAATACCTCCAGTTTGTTGATACCTTCATTTACTTCTCGCATAAGTTGGCTTGCGTTCCGCCGCCTACATGGGTCAATTTGCTTCATAGAAATGGCGTCGAGGTGTTAGGAACGCTGTTGATTGAGCCGCAGACTGAGGGTTCGGAACGTTTGTTACAGCATACGTTTGACCAAGCCGGAGAGATGCACTTCCCCATGGCGAAGAAACTAGCTAGCATCGCGACGCACTTTGGCTTCGATGGCTGGCTAGTCAACATCGAGAAGCCGTTTCCAAGCGAATCGTGGAGTGCAAAGCTTCTCGAAGCTTTCCTGCTCCAGTTGAAAGCCAACCTAGGAGTCGGTCTTGACCCCAAGTCAGCTGGCAAGCGGCTCATATGGTAACATCCTCTCATTCACTACCACCCTGACTAAAGCGTGACTTGACTTAGGTACGACGCCCTCACCACCTCCAACAAAATCTCTTACCAGAACCAAGTCAACAACTCCAACATGGACTTTGCCTGTGCATGCAGCAACATACTCACAAACTATTGCTGGAAAGATATTGACGTCTCCGAATCAATAAAGTGGTGCTTGTACAGCAGATTCCTACCCAAGGGAAACATCTACTTCGGTGTGGATGTCTGGGCACAAAACAAGTCTGATTTCAGGCATCCGCGCGTTACATGGCCAGAGGTTGGAGGTGGCGGTACCAATACCGGGATGGCTGTGAGAAAAATGGCCGACTCTGGCTTGCCAGTAGGTATTTTTGCGCCTGCGTGGTCGTTTGAGCATTTTCCAGATCATGGACGCCATCTCGAACGTGCTGTCTGGGAAGGTGAGTCGCTGCCAGAGAACATCCAGTGTAGTTGCGGAGATTGCGAGTTTCGGCATCCGCTGAACAGAGAGTGGCCCATTTTGCGTACGGCGAAGGAGCGCGTGGCGGGCTCAGAGCACCTATTCTACACGGATTTTAGTCGTGCTTTCGGAACATATCGAGAAAAGGCAAACGACAGGTTTGATGGCCACGACATACACGCACAACTAGGCCAGCAATCCGTACTGCCCCGTCCAGCCATTCTCGCACCTGGTTCGGGAGCCGTCACACTCTCACACCGCATCGAAAATGAACAAAATAGCCACATCCTAGTAATCACCGCCACACAGAACCGCCCAACCGATCCGGAAACGATAGAAGAACACCTTCCCCTCTATAAACTTGACATGCCCGCAGACGGCTCCCTCCATCTTTCTGCCGTACCAAGCCCCGCATCCCCATCCTACATAACCCCACAAACAACAGATGCGATCATAAGCATCTATTTCAAAACCACACAAGGGACGCACTACCTCCCCTCACCTTTGTCCAGCGATCCACAACGATTAATCGACCAAGTACCCAACGCCCGTATCCGCGAACTAGGCGTCCACCTAAAAGGGCCTTGGGGCGCCCCAGTTGGCGAAACTGTACGAGTACTGGGCATTAGAGATATATGCATAACGCCCCGCCTCACGCTGCACCATACACCCGTCTTTGAAATTGTGGACCTCAAGCTGGTACAGTGTGGGCAAGAGCAAGGCGAGGAAGACCGTATAGTTCGATTAACCTGGAAGACTGAAGGAGCGGTTGCGAGCGAGTGGGTCGATAAAGGTAAGTGTATAACTTATTGACGCATGTTTGTTGTGAGATATGGACTGACTTTGTATCTCAATCGATACAGGCATGGCGCTTAGTCATGTGACCGGGCCCATGGCGTGGTTTATTGTTCGAGTGGGCGGGGTGGTGGTGGGGAGGGTGTATGCGTTGGAGTGTATTTTGGACAAGAAGGTTGTGGAAGCACACGCTGGGCAGGAAGTCGAGGTTGAAGTCACAGGATTTGGGTTCGATGGGTACAAGCTTGCGGAGAAGAAGAGTATGCTGCAGTTGTGATCGTTGTAGAGCAACACGATCAACGCGCGTCGCGTCGGTTTGGTGGTTGGGGCGAGAATGGGACTAGCGTGTCGACGACGTCATCGATACTTGTACCTGTCCTTACAACCTTTCGGTCTGCTTTACATTGCAGCAATATTGCGCGCGTATAATGAGAGGTCTTGTTTATCGATTGGCGCAATTGGCAAACGTCACATCACGAAGTTTGTATTCGTCACGACCATCACCACGGATTGGGACATTTTTGCTTGCTCGGCAGCTTCACGCAACAATTACCATGTCAGGTCCGGCGAAACGCAAAGCAGAGAAGGATATATCGCCGCTGAAAGCAAAGAAGACAAGTTTAGAGACAAAAACAAAGACGGTAATTCCTGCGTATCATCTCACCCCATCAAGACAGGATGAGTCTGGAGAGATTGTATGGCCCGCGAGAAAAGAGCAGATTGAACGCGCTCGAGAAATCATCAGATACTGGTAAATGCGTCTACATCCTACGACTAGATACCCGTGCTAAACCATCAAAGCGCCTCAGCCCAGAAGCCAACCGTCATCCTCCCCGACAAGGATGCGGACGGACTCTCATCTGGCGCCATACTTCACCATACCCTCACAGCTCTAGGTCTCCGACCTGATCTCATATCCGTATATTTCCCACCAAAAGGCTCAAACGTACATGATGAAAGTACAAAGGAAGCTTTGACAGAACTATCTCCATCATACATCTTCATACTAGACCAAGGCAGCAGGAAAACGCCGCCAGTCGTCGACTTGCCGCATACATGCCTCGTCGTAGACCACCACTTTGCCGACGAAGGAGGATTTCCAAAAGGTAGCGATTACGTGACAGCTCACGACTGTCCGCCCGTTGCGACTAGCGCGTTATTGACGTACACAATCTGCTTACCACTCCATCCGGATCTCAACGACAAAGTGTCTTGGTTGTGTGCACTAGGAACCCACGGCGACCTGGGTAGCAGCATAAAATGGGAACCCCCTTTCCCCGACCTAACCGCAACTTTCAAATCCCATTCCAAGAAATCCATCAACGACGCCGTAGCCCTAGTCAACGCACCACGGCGGTCGGCAGCCTACAACGTGCAGGATGCCTGGGATGCCGTCATATCTGCCACTAATCCCTTGGACATTGCAAAGAATGAAAAGCTTCACACCGCTTCCCTGGAAGTACGCCGTGAGACGGAGCGATGCACACATACGCCTCCCAAATTCTCAGCCGACGCTACAATCGCCGTTCTCACGATATCTTCTGCCGCGCAGATTCATCCCGTCATCGCTACAAGATGGTCTGGTACGCTCAAGTCGAATAAGTTGGAGGTTGTCATGTGCGCGAATGAAGGCTATCTTCCTGATAAAGTCAACTTTTCGTGTCGTGTTGCCAAGTGTGCGCGGGCGAGGGGAGGAGAGGACAAAGTCGACATCATCAGCAAGCTAGAGAGCATAGTTGCTGACAATTCGGAACTGAGAAGTAGGTTGGGTGAAAGCTTCGCAAGAGGGCACAAAGAGGCTAGTGGGGGTATCGTGGGGAAGGGAGAGTGGGAAGAGTTTAAGAAGTTGATGGGTATTGGAGAAGCGGCGAAGAAGAAGGCGGATGCTAAGAAAGAGAAGGACAAGCCCGCACAGAAGAATACCTTGGCGAATTATTTCGCGAAGAAAGAGAAGGTAAAGGTAGAGGGTGCGTGAACATTGGGTCACGTTGTGGTGCCAGACGCTTCTCTCATCTCTCTAGCAGAACCAGCGTGTCGACGACTCTCTTGGCCCTCGTTCTCGAGCCAAACGAACTTCGTCACGGAAACTACGGCTGGGCATATTGGTAGTTTGAAATAGTTGGTTACGAGCAAGCCTGCCAAGCTGCGTCAGAAGTGGCCGTTCCTAGCGGAAGAGGCGTTACGGAAACCCGGTAGACTTTGCGCCGCATGTTTACCGCCAAGACGACGAATTAAATGGTATTCAATCTAACATGGTCGAGACTGGGTGTTGCGGAAATGAAATAGCCAAGTCAATGACGACCAGGCGCATATCCGCCTCTTTCCACCCGTTTCTCGTTGTAGCATCCGAGGCGAACAGAAGAAAAGATTACAATCGGGGCTTTGGAGCCTTTGAGCCAACGATGGGTGTTTCTAGTGTCTCGATCACGTTTCGAATTAGAAGGGGTTACATTATTAGGCGGCTGTGCGCCCGAAATGCCGGTTGATCTGCATCGTCAAACAGGAACAACAAAAAAATAATCACCCCAAGACAACTTCCAAAGTACAGTAGATCACAGCCAAGGACACTTTTGTCAAGATCGAGTTGCAATTCACTAGCTTTCACAAAAAGAAAAAGGAATCCTCACAGTGCCATAGCTAACAACCTCACGATCCAAACACTGGAGAAAAAAACAAAATGCCGCCCCAGGGGCCGCCTTACCAATGTCCATTTCGTTACAGTCATGATTCTCCCACTTTCATCACTTGTATAAATTGCACCCAGGAAACCAAGCTTTCTTGGCAACTGCCGAGTAGCGCGTGCTCGTCAGCACTCAATCTGCACGCAACTCGCCCATTCGCCAAGGAGTTTACATTGCATGGCTCGAGGTTGTTCCTCATTGGGCACGGCACTGATATCTGGGGGGCCGGCTGTCACATGGGCTTAGTGCTTGGAGCGGTCGGGGATGTATGCAGTGGTGCCCTGTCTATATGAAGCGGATAGATTGTTTTCGTGGTCATTAGGATGGGATACTAAGTTGGAGGGCTGGGATGCAAAGAAGGTGTATATATATATGTATAGACTGGGAGTGCTGGAGTTTGACAAAAAGAAGATTCGATACCCCATTCACCTTGTTCGCATCCATCTCATCAGCTCCCTTCAAGATGAAGTACGCAACTGTTCTCCTCGCCGCCGCGGCGACCGTCTCTGCCCACTCGACCTGGCAGGAACTCTGGGTCGGCACCGAAGACAAAGCTGGAACCTGTGTGCGAACTGTCAAGGACAACAGCCCCGTCACTAGTCTGACATCGCCTGATATGTTCTGCGGTCGTGGTCCCGCTGCTTCGTCTGGAGTCTGTGAAGTCGCAGGTACGCTACCCTCTTTCCCACCTTCTTGTTTCCCAGCCTTCCCCCCCTCTTTCTACAACGAAAGTGTCCATGATACTAACTTGTTATGTGACTCACAGCCGGCGGTTCCCTGACTGTGGAAATGCACGCACAACCCAACTCGCGCTCCTGCTCCCAACCCGCCATCGGCGGCAACCACTACGGCCCCGTCCTAATCTACATGGCCAAAGTAGCCGACGCAAAGACCGCCACGTCCGGATCCTTCTTCAAGGTAGCCGAGGACGGATACACGGGTACAACAGCCTCGTGGGGCACCGAGATCCTCAATGCAAACTGCGGAAAGCGCGCCTTCACCGTGCCCAAGAACATTGCGAGTGGAGACTATCTGGTCAGGGCTGAGGCTATTGCTCTGCATGCTGGTGCGAATAACCCGCAGCCGTATGTCAGTTGCTTCCAGGTCAAGGTCACGGGCGGTGGCAGTGCGACGCCCGCGGGTGTTAGCTTTCCGGGCGGGTACAAGACGAGTGATCCCATCTTTACAAAGGCGATTTACGACTCGAGCTTCAAGTATGTCAGCCCTGGACCGGCTGTCTACTCTGGTTAAGAGTGCGCCTGGCTGGTGAGGGCGAGGATTGGTGGGGTGACGGCTGGGTATCATGGGGGAACTTCATTGTAAATAGTTGTTATCAAGCTTTGAATATTAGTAGGAACAATCCAATCGATATGTTGGCACCCAAGTATACCTCGGAAGATACAGCACAGCGTCCCGTACAAACAACACTCGTCACTGTCTAGTGTACGCTAATAGAACCCTTGTGATGATCCATCGTGTTTTCCAACAACAATTCCAACACCCGGGCTCTCCACTCGTCACGCATACCGCAGATGTCTTTTCCTCGGGAGGGAAGATGCGTAGAGAAGAGATTTTGTTGTGTAAGCAGATTGGACAAGGAAAGACCTCGATAGCCCCACGTACAAAAAACAAATATGAATAACACCATGGTACGTGGTAGTACCTATGATTGTTATCGAACGTGAAGCAACATATCTCGTGACGCGCGAAGAAAGCACCTCAGGCCCCCCAACCTATTCATCTCTAAAGATCCACTTCCCACCCCTTCTATGCGCTTCCAACCAGCGCTCTTGCACAATTGCTTTATCCTGCTCCATGGCACGCTCCCTATCCTCCTGCTGTTCCTGCGTGGTCGGGAAGTCGACTCTCCAGAAGCCCGGCGGTGTTCTTCGTCGCTCATACGCCTCACGATGCTTGCCCGACTCCTTGGCCAATTTTTTGGTCCGGGCTTGCAGGACAAGCTCTTGTCGTTCTTCAGACGACATCTGCGTAAGCTGCATGGTGCTGTATGCATCGCCGAGGTAATCCTCGAGCAGTTCCTCCTCTTGCGACGAGCTAAGCGGTGCTTGGACTTGGGCAAAAGTTCGGAAGGTGGAGCCACAGCATTGCGGGTTGGTGCAGCCAGGGAGGCACATGCGATCGCCTCGCTTGCGTACAGTCTCTGAGAATGCGTAGCTGTAGCCTTGGTTGTATTCTGGGTTTGGCTTGAAGTCCTTGACGCTAAGCGCACTCACTGGTTTATCGCGGAGACATTGCTCTTTCTCTTTTGGTGGCGGTACGCGGTTCCTTCGTGCACTGGTACGCGTCTCAGGAGCTCTCATAGTCCATAAAGGACCTTCTGGCGTCAGATCTTCGCGAGGCGTCGTGCGCGTTTTCGACTTTGAGTTACGTGATCTTCTACTGCTGGAGGGTGTATAGGTGGGCCGTGACGAGCTTGCGGGTGGGGTTGCCACTTGCTCAGTCTTGATTTTCACCGATCCTGACTTGGGTGTCTTCGGTGAAGTCTTGTCTGGTGTCTGGAGGTTCTTCAATGCTTGTAGTCTCTGATTCATCTGCGCTCGAGCTGTGCTAGGTGGCAATCTCGGCGAATCATGGTTCATCGGAGGCGGTGATTCGTCCGACTCTGCCAAAAAGTTATGTTTGGCTTGATGATACGCTTGGGCTTGTCTTGAGCGCTTGTTTGGAGGTTCCTCCGAAGCACTGCTCACTACGTTAGGATCAAGAGACCTCAACGCGGCATCCTCTACTTGAGTTGGTTCAACCGGCTCACTGATAGCCCTTGGTTGGATGCCTCTAACAACTTGAGGATCATCCGTCTCACAGTAGAGACCAAGCAGATCAGTATTATCCAGGTTCTCATTCTTGATGGCCTGCGTTAGCGGTGCGCTGTCGGGCCTATGCTGACGAGGTGTTTTTGCAGCATCATCGTCATATAAGAGTCGCGTTCGAGGTTGGCGCGGCGTTTTGAGTCCATGGGGCGCAGGATCGTCAAGATCCATCGTCTCAGTCCGAGCCACCATCGAAATGGAAACTGGTGGACTACTCTGCGGCTCTTCCTTCACTCGATGAGGCTTTACCGGCGTGCCATCTGAGGAGTGATCTGCGTATATCTCGAACCTTGATTTTGATGGCTGCTCTCGTTTTCGTTTTAGCGATCGCTCAGAAACGAACTGGGGAACGTCGTCATCATCTGCGTCCACGGCCGGTTCGAATATGCTTCTTGACTGTTCGGGTTCATCTACGGTTGTCTGACTAGAGCTTGGGATCGCTGAACGGTGGCCTTCGTGGTCAGATATTATGCGCTGAATGTGTGATGAGACACCGAGGCCGGTGCCATCGTCATGTTGATGCTGATGTTGCTGGGCATCTTCCAGCCGAATGCTAGCCTTTGGAGTGATGGTCGTGGTCGGACTCTGGGCATCTTCTCCACCAGCCGTCGTCGAGGAGGCCAACCGATTTGTCGTTCCCACGACTGAACGCGGAAACAAAGTCGAAGCAGCAGGAGAAGAGCGATCCGGGTTGACGAATGATCCAGGCGTGCGGATAGTGGCTGCAGAGCCTGGACTGGAGGGCATGTGAGGTCGGTCCTCAGGAAGAAGGTGAACAGCAGCCACGTTAGACTTGCCATCCTCTCTAGCCTCACTCTTTGCCTTTTGCTTTCCAAATTGTCTATCCGCGTACTCTTGCCATGCGCGCACGTTTTCTTTCATATCCTTGTTCTTCTGCATGACAGTAGCGTTCTTCCTCTCTAGGTACTTGATTTTATGAGACATATCACGGTACTTTTTGGTCAATTCGCTAAATCGCTCGGCAAGGTCATGATGCTCTTCTTCGGAGGCGTTCGTTCTTACTTCCTTGGAAGTCTCATGGTCTGGCGACAGAGTAGCTGTGTCTTCAAGCGCCTTGAGTTGTTGCTTCAACTGTTCATTCTCGGCGACGAGGTGGCGATACTCTTCCTCGGACGCACCTGAGGCGCCAATCCTAGAAGCATCCTGGTAGGTCTGACCGGCAGATTCGAGTTGTTCCTTGAGTTGCGCATTCTCCTTGACAAGATGGGCAGTTTTCAAAATCTCATCGTTTAGATGTTCGAATAGTATCTGCTGGTTCTCTTCCTCTACACATGGTTAATACGCGTCGACAGAGTTGGATTAAAACGCGTACTCTGCTCTAACTCCTTCTTATGATTGTCTTCCCCTGATATGCAGTTAGCGATTGCCAAGGCATCGACTGGACATACGAACTCTTCTTCCACTCTTTCTCCAGATCAGGTTGAATGACCTCATCGTACACGCGTGTCCAGAGCCCTTTATTCTGCTCTATCCAGGCTGAAAAGTCTGCCATGTCTGATCAGGCCGACGATGCATCAAATGAGAGATGCGGCAAGGAGCGATTCGATGTTGGGATGGGTCGTGGCAGTGATTGTAGTGTTAGGCGGCAATGGCGAAAGTCACGCGCTAGTGGAACGCGAAGTCACGGGCTGACGCTCGGACATTGAGCGATAACGATAAGACATGATGTCCCGAGGCGCATTCGCCGCCGAGACGGCAGCCCTTCGCTAGGTACTATGAAGCGCGCGCGCGATGGGGAAGATGATGGCGAACATACAGCCAAAGTACAGCGGCTCCTGAATCCCGATCGACTATCAAAGCTCAGCGAAGAACTTCTCGTGCGCGTATTGTCATTCGTGCCAGTACCCTCGCTATTAGTATGCCAAAGGTTGGTACAGCCCTTTCCCCCGAGTCGCGACATGTGCTGACTGTAATAGGGTATCGAAGAAGTTCAGCCGCCTTTCTGTCGACTCGGAACTATGGAAAGCCGCCTACTACCGCACATTCGTCCTGCCGAGAGCGTCGCGCATCCCGGGCATCAAGGGCCCTGCGAACCCTAATCGGCTACACTACTCCTCCCGCCTGTCCAAATGGTTAGACGACGGCTATCTGGTCAAGGATGGTACACAAACCAACTGGAAGCAACAATATCGGCTACGGCATAATTGGACTCAGGGACAATGCGCCGTCAGCGAGATCGTGGTCGCCGAAAGGCCTCCAGATCCGCCGCTGCTAGTCATGATGTCCAACAGCATCATCTACGCTGCCGATTCCATGTCAGGCCTCCGAGCGTGGGATTCGAAGAATGACAGGGAATTGCTGGCGTCTTCCGAACTGTCTGGTGATACAGATACAGCTCGATTGCCAACCTCCATGGCTACAGACGCTAACAACACGGGCGACGATAAAGAACGAGTCGTTGTAGGCTTCGAGGATGGCTCCTTCTCCATATACGCTCTCAGAATAGACCAAAGGACGAGCCGAAAGACGTTTACGAATGTCTTTACCCATCCGCCATCGACCAACGGAATGCTATCGGCTCTCGCATACTCATCGCCTTACCTCGTTACCATGACTGAAGACCACCTACTCTCACTATACGCCTTCGAGAGCATACCAGGCACCACTGGCCTTTTAGACGCACCCAAACTCCTATACTCCCTACGCTCCAACACAGCATGGCCACCCGTATCGCTCTCGCTACGAACAACAGCAACGAGCATGACCGCCGCCATCGCATACTCCTTGCCCACTTATCTATCTGGCTGGACGGTTGGCGTGCAAGAACTGATACTGTCACACAAGGGCGATTTGATCGAGTCACGATTAGCTACTGCGGCAGACGAGCACTCCTTCACACTTTCTGCATATCGCTCGACCTCGTCTGACAGGCTGCCGCCATCGCCTTCATCCAACAGCGCAAGGGAAGCGTCTGTACCGAGCGGGCCGAGTCGATCGAAACCCACCTCCATGTCGTATTCCCACCCGTATCTGCTCGTCGCACATCCCGACAACACATTATCGCTCTACCTCGTCCGGTCCACATCGCAGGCACTTTCGATAAGCTCCGGCAACCGTCTCTGGGGCCATACATCCTCAATATCTGGTGCTCATGTTGGCATGCGCGGAAAGGCCGTGTCCGTGAGTAGAAGAGGAGACGAGCTCCGGGTATGGGATTTGGAGGGTGGCATGACTTCTTCGGCAAACCGTAGGCGCTCAAGAAACGGACATTTGAGTGTTCGTGTGCAGCCATCCAAAGCCAGTGAGGAGCATCATACACAGGACGATGAATCAGGGCAGCAAGTAGGCTTGCGATTCGCCCTAGACCAGGGGTTCGATGACTCTTCTGTTAGTCGCGGTTGGGTTGGTTTTGACGAGCAGAATGTGATTGTGCTGCGAGAGAAGAGCGAAGGTAGTCAAGCTTTGGTGGTATACGACTTTACGTGACAAGCCGTATAGAATGCGAGGCGTTGTAATATACCCTCATAGTGTCCTGACTCCGGTGCTGATGTACATCCCCTTATTGCACACCGACCCTTCGACCTCATCTCGGTCTTTCAGAAGACGATGTACATATATAGTCGGACCTATGTGATTGGCGTGGACTTGGCGAGGCTGCTGTGACCACGGTACACATCCTGCCGAGCCGAAGTTGGTACGGGTCCTCACTCCGACTCCGACTCACCAAGACAATCAATACTCCTGTGATAAGGAATCTCGCCCAGGCAATAGTATAGTGAGAATGGAGATGTTGCCTCCAGTGCTACCGGGGCTTGAGGCGTATAGCCTGAGACAATCTTCCAACAAATCCGCCTTCTATACGACTGTTCGCAGGTCAGAATGTTTTGTGCAAGATAGGGTAGGGGCTCAACATACGGCATATTTAAGTACAGCATGTATAACGGTCGCTGTGAAACTTAGCGTGGTCTTGTTGTGTTAAGCGTGCGTTCTTACCTCGGTGCCATAGAGCATGTTCGATACCAACTCCTTAACGATAGACCGGAGATTATCATACAGGTTCTCGATTGTTTGTTCGAGGCGGATAAGTTCAATGAGGTCGGTTCTCGATGGATTTGGTGGAGCGCGAGCTCCATGCTTCCTTCTCCAGCCAAACATAAAGTCGTCATATGACATACGTTCGCAGTGCCATACCACTTTCTGCCACATCGCTCGGATCGCTTCTAAAGCCAATACCATCTCCTTCGCATCAGGCCGTTCAGAACAAGACATGTCCATATTGTCTCCCAGAGTCATCAAAACATGCACAAGATGGAGGCGTAGACCGTACTCATGTTCTTGCATCAGGATAACAGTAGCATCGCTGAAAAAGGTCTCCTTCGCTTTTTTGTAGTCTAAACTTCCGAGACTCCTTTTGAATGGGGGTTGAGGCATGGAATTTGCACTGCGAACGAATGCTCTGGCGGTCTCAGGAAAGATCTGATTCGCTGGCTGTCCGTAGTCGATCTCAGCCCGTTCAGCGTCCGGTATCAGGCCTTGTAGTCCAAATACTCTATCTTGAGGGTTTTGACACTGGCTCGCACTGAACGTCAGAAGCAATTCTGCATAGCTGTAGTGCCTGGCTGACAAGGCATGATCTGTAAGCCACTTGACTTGTGACGGCACAACGTCATCCAAGTAGACATTTCCATTCAAGTAGACCTTTGTTAGCGTTGAAGAGCAAAAGCGTTTCAGTTCGTCCCATGAAAGCAGTGTCTCGCCACATATGACGCGAATGTATCTTGCTAGCATGATCTCTTGAACGATCCATAACCTCAACCAATATGGATTGCCGAAGAAGTGCCTTAGCGCGGACCTTAGCGCGGATGTCCAAATCGAATCTTCGGCTTGCGTCGAAGTCCCGTCCCTACTCATTTTGCTGGACGTCTTCGATCTTTTGGTCAAGGATTCAGAATCATGATAGCGTCTGTAGCTAGATTTCAACGCTCTCATAACTGCTTCCGTACTACCATCAGACTTGCCTAGCCAGACGTAGACATAGGTCGCTCTTCGATAGATGTCGGACATCATCTTGACCTGATGGTTGCGCTCTCCAGTCAACGCCTGGTTGATACATACCTGGTCTATCCACAACCACTGAACCTCATCTTCGTAGCCATTACCACCTCGAAACTTGTATAGACGTTCCCTAAAGGCGTAGATAAAGTCGTAAAGATTCTGCCGTACGAGAAAGCGGTGACCGTTGACTTGGATCTCCTGAACAGGCGATGGAGGACCCCAAACATAAGAGAGAGCGCGGTATTCGGGAGTAGGGTTGGACTGGAGGTTCACATGTATGAGGTTGCACCTGATTGGTCCTGTTATTTCGGGAATGATGGATATCAGCCTGATTTCCTGAACAGCCTGATTGATCGGCTCATGAACGAAAGCGGCGCTGGAACCTGCCATGTTCGTCGTGTATTTCGCAAAATGATTATGGGTGTGAGCTTCGAAACAGCATCGCTAAGAAAGTGGTTGTGTGGAGAGAAAGGAGATGTCATGATGAGACAGGTAAGGCAGAAGCCAAGAGAGTGGGGTTTGTGGCGCAGTCGTGGCAGTGCGTAGTGAAGACCAAAGAAGCAATTAATTTTCTCTCTATCTAAAAGTAATAGTCGTGCGCCACGCCTTCACTGTTACCACATTTGCCCACTACGGTATTGTTCGTGAGTTACCAGAACCAGAGGAGCAAAACTATCGCCCAGAGCTCAGAGACAGTGTTGACTAGTTCGATTCCCAGTCCTCTAACTGGAGATTTTGGGTTTTTGGCCCGCTGGGTGGGATAAGCAACACCTGCAGCATCACGGTGAAGCAAAAGCTCCCGGTCAGGCATTGTTGGAGGACAAATGGCGTAGTAAAACGGCTGGAAGAAAGCCACAGTATACGTAGGCCAGAGAGTAGTCACCCATAGTACCCGTGGAAGAAGGTAAAGGAACGCGTCCCTTGAAGCTAGACCGTGAAGATTCGAGGCCGTTTTGAGGTTGCTCATGATCCCCGCAACTAACGCCAAAGCGATGCACAAGTGGAAACTTCCACCGTCTTTGATCATAATTGACCTTAAACGCTCCCTCAGAGAAGCCCTGCGCAAACGGCTTCTTTCATGAAGTTCGTCGGGCAAGCTTCCCGTTGAACGGAACTTGGCGAAGAAAGCGTTGGGATACCCTCCGAGCCATTTGGGTAGCAAGAACGTCTTGCAATGGTTGACCGCATAGTCTATACAGATGTCAGTCTTGTTATCAAGTACGCTCCAGGACCAGCTTACATGGATTTAGGAAATGTGCGCAAAGTAGCTCACGGCAGCTAGCTCCATAACCGCAAACATAGGCCATCAAGCATTGGCGTACAAAGAGCAAAGCGTGAACTGCAGATGCAACTCGAACAAGGGCGATTAATTGCTCTGTTCCTGTATACATGACGACAGGCCAACCAGCCAGAAGCATCACCAGAGTTTTTATGACATCCAGCGTTTTCAGTATGGCTGTCGCGTTGTGAACAAGATACCAAAAAGTGTACGCTCGCTGCCAGCCGGTAAGACCGCCCGAAAGATCTCCATAGAGACCCAGCTTCATGATTAGACCTGCCTGAAAGCCGCCGGTGCTCTATCAAATCGCTCAAAGTCAGCATTCAATGACAAGCTTGAGAGTTGCACAGCAGTCTACATACCCATCGCGTACGTTGCCGAATATGTGCACTATATGTTTCTGGTACAAGACCCCACTGTAGCTCTTCTTTCACGTATGCTGACCGCCAATCTACGGATGGATTAGTTAGGACTTGCTAGATTCAGCACAAGTAGCTTTGCCTACCTCTGCCAATGAGGAGATTGCCACAAAGAATATCCTCAGTTAGTGATTGCGAAGGGAAGCCGCCTATCTCGGCCAGGGCTGTCCGTCGCATGACCCAACCAGATCCAGTGCACCACGCGATGCCTGCTCCATCCTTGATCGTCTCTTCGAACTTGTGGAAGACGAAGAGCGACTGCGACAGGGGATCATCCATAGGAACGTTATAAAAGCAAGATGGTGGACAGGTAAATGCCATCTTTGGATCCCCGAGCAGATGTGGTAATTGTGCTCTCAGCCAGTGTCTCGCAGGGATCATGTCGGCATCTAATCCCGCAATGAATGGTGCCTGGCCTCCTGGAAGTCTTGCCGTGTACTCGAGTACGTGGTTGAGATTACCTGCTTTGTGACTGTTTGCAGGAGTCCTCTGACGTGCCGTGTAGAAGAGGTGACTGTTGGGGTACTGCTCTTGTAGGCGTTGCACACCCCTTGCAACACTCTTTTGAGCCCCGTCGTCTGAGACAATGATACGGATCCTGTCACTCGGCCAATCTGTGTTCAAAGCGGCTCTCACCGTATCGAGTATCACGGACAGGTCTTCGTTGCAGCATACTATCGCGATATCGACTGACGGGACATCGTTGCCCACCAGACGTAATCGAGGTCTCCAGGTGCCCTTTGCAACTGCTGAAGCGTCCAGTATCTTCTTCACATATTCGGGCACTACGAAGGTTGGCTTTGCACATTTGGGGGAGATGGAGGGTCTAAGTACCATTGGTGATCATATCCAGGATTACATAGCCACGTTGGGCTATCAAGACTTTACTTGGAGGAGCACCGTCTGAAGCTGACAGATAGTGGTATTGCATCCACCAATAGTAGAAGCTCACAACAATTGGCAATAGCGTCGCCAATGGCATGAACCGGAGTACTTTCTTTTCCTTCTCAGTCAAGGTGAAGAGATCCTCATACTTTGCATCTGTAGCCAAAATTTGGTAACATGTAGCATGAGCCTCGTCGCAGTTCAAGAAACTCGCTTGCGAAGGTTTAGTTGGCCTCAAAACAGGGATGCGCATGTTCTTAAAGAATACGGTAGTTGGTGTTGAAGTTGAAGACGAAAAGAGTGGTTTGGAAGCCTGATTCACCGATGGAAGTGAGAATGTAAGGGTAAGGAAGTTTGGGATATTCGAAATTATAGGTCTGTTTCAGGTTGGATGGCATACCCCTTACGAGGCTGCAGATAAGGCGGTAAGCCACAATCAGTGATTCAAACCAGGCGGAATGAATCTATGAAACGCTTCCGCTGTTGTTGGGCGCGCAAGAGCCCCGAGCGGAACGACTTCGGGACTTCTATGTAGTGAACGTGGAAACAGTTGATCTGATCCACGACCCGATTACTATTCCCGTGACCATCCGCCTAACGGAACTTCCATATCCAATAAATGTAAACCTTACAGACCCACATAATCGTCAGCTGCTGATCGTGATAATCATACATCCGTAATCTCGCCAAGACCTGATTGGTACTTTCTGGTAGGATGTATCTCCTTCAGCAATCTGAGGTTTTATTGACTTAATGGACGATTTAGTACTAGAAGCTGGGCACAACGCTGTTTAATGACAATCTTTTGCTCATAGTTTTGGTGTATTTCTTGAACACTTTGTACTTCCTGTATGCAGTTGCGGTTCTTATTGAGCTACCAATCATTGAAAATGCACCTCAAACTTGGAATCTTCTTTATGCTCCTTTGTGCCTTATGGGCTTGCGCGCTCTTTTCGACATCCTACAAATCCCAGTACTCGTCATCTCGCTATAAAGTAGGGCATAGTCGTGATGTGAATCAAACACTTGGATTTGAAAAGATCTTTGTCATCAATCTGCCATTCCGAACTGATCGAAGAGATGCATTGGAACTGATGGCAGCGGCCACAGACATGAAGCTTGACTTTTCAAGGGCTGTGAAAGGAGAAGAAGTCGAAGAAGTAGCCCTGGTATATGTAAGGTCCTTCTACACTACGGATCACAAGTGTCTTGCTCAAAACATCCAAGGGACGTTCGAAAAACGAAGCAAGTAATGGCACACGCGGAAGCTGGAGAAGCCACCTCAATGTTATCAGGACGTGAGTGAAGGTCTTCAATTGATGTCAGTAGCTGACTGTCCAAAGCGTTGTTGAAGATCGTCTTTCAACCGCACTGATTATGGAAGATGACATAGATTGGGACGTGCGTTTGCAAGAGCAAATGTCACGTTTATGGAGCAACCTTGGTCAGAAACGGCTACAAAGTTGGGAGTATGTATTGCTAGAGTGGTTTCACAAGCGAACATGGCTAACTCCCACGAGTGTTCTATGGCTCGGCCACTACGGTGAAACCTTCGACCCTACCGACCCAGGATTGACCACCTTTCATGATCCCACCCTTCCCGACTCCCTTACAGATTTCTATTCAAGAAGCACGTCTCAATTTCCGCCACAAAGCCGAGGAGTTCATCGAAGCGACTTCCCACTAGGAACATTTGCGTATGCAGTCAGCTACCACGGAGCAAAGAAGATCCTGTAAGTCTTGTAGCCAGCGCAAGATATATATCTTTATCTCACTACTCCAACAGCTACCAAATAGGGTTGAAGTCCACTGTTGCGCAGTACGATAATGCGTTGGCGCTGTCCTGTCAAACCGTCTTGAATTGCATTTCTTTGACACCGGGGCTTTTCCACGACTATAAGGCAGCTGGGTCACCAGAGAAACATTCTTCGAGTAGTCCGCATTTGGAAAAAGAGACACCTCATGAGCTTTTTAGCAAGGAAAGTAGGAGCTTGACACGTAGAGAACGAATTCTAACGAAGAACCTTAGGACATAGGGCTGTCTGTGCGTCAGTATATCGGCGAGGAGCTTGGGAAGCAAAACGATCGCCCCAAACAGCCACTATCTGAGTCGGAGATAAGTTCGCGATGGTTTGAAGCAGTACAAGGCGAAAGGTTCAGAACCTAGAGACATCCACACATTTGATACCACGGAAATTTTACTTGACGAATAAATTGTGGTGTCTTAGCACCGGTATGATATCATAAAGCCGGCTTTAACTTACTGATGCAGCTACTGTATTACTGTAGAAACCTTATGTTATATAGTGGACCACGCATTATCAATCGGTATCATTGCCCCATTAATCATCGTCGACTCTTCTGAAGCCAGAAAAGCAATGCCACGCGCCACGTTATCCACTCCAATGTAAGGAACCGGCGTTCCCTCGCTGTCTTTCGATACGTGCATTTGCACAATAGGGCTGTTTGTATAAGTAAGCGCAAAGCAGAACACATTCAATTTAGCTTAAGACTTACAAGAAAGCATTGAAGCCAGCAGAATCAAAGTGCTGCATCTGCACTGATGATGCGATGTTGGTTGCAACGCCGCCAGGCAGCACGCCATTGCATCGAATGCCTTCCTTATGGAATCGCCAGGCAACGTTTTTTGTAGCACCCACCTATCGTGCTGTCAATACTATTGTATGGTGTTGCGGCCGGGGGTTTGTACGTACCAGACCATGTTTGCTTGCAGTGTACGCAATACCAGCACTCGCCCCCGAAGTTCCTGCTTTACTTCCAACGTTGACGATAGAACCACCCTTTTGTTCCTTCATCGCCGGCAATACAGCCTTCATCATGCGAATAGGCACTGTCAGGTTGATAGACATGACCCTCTCCCACTCTTCTTCGTGAATCGTGTCGGCGCTGCTCCAACCATCGCTCACGCCCGCGCAATTGACCAGGACATCGATGCGGTTGTGTTTGCCGACGCACTTCGCTACAGCATGCTCAGCAGCTTGCGACTCGGTAAGATCAGTCTTATAGAAGGTGAATGTTGAGTAGTCTTCAGCGAGCTTCTGCGGCTGTTCGCCGATGTCTATTCCGAACACTGAAGCGCCTCGTTCGAGGAACAAACGTGTAGTTGCTAGGCCGATACCGGAGCTGCAACCGGTGATTATCGCGACTTTGTCTTGGAGGCTAGAAATGGACATGTTTAGATGCGAGTAATATTGATTGACGTATGGATGCGGATTGATCGATGATTCAGACTAATTGGCGATGCCCGCTGGTGGAAAACTTGGAATGACGTCAACGGTTAGCGTAAATTCTGGGACCCACTTTTGACAGTACCATCTAGAATGTATCCACTTGGACGATGCTTCATCTTCACCATCGAGCTCTTCGACCACGAAGACTGGAATGTACGTATTAGATAGGGAAGAGTTCGAGGACAAGAAAACTGGGTATATTATGCTATCCTAAGACAGCGATCGCGCAACATCATCCTTGGCACGAACAAAAAGAGCTACGGAGCCGATCCCGACGCGTCAACGCGTCCATCACCACTGACAATCTAGATTACTTCTTCCATGCGATGGACATCGCTATCCTTCGTCCATTGCCTGATTCTCTTGCCTAACCCAAAGTACAGTGGGAAGACGAACAGTGCAGGCCCCATCGCACAAGCGAAAATGACCATGGCGGGGGTGATCCACCCATTCTTGCTCTCGTGGGCAAGATCAAAAACCCAGTAACTATACGAGAAACCGATGAAGTTTTTGCAGACTGTCGCGACAACCATAATCTCACCGGAGATAGGTTTGTAGCAGTCGATCGCGTATGCGATGGCGATGGTGGGCACGGTTGTGACACTAAGGCCGGCGAACCCATAGCCCCAAACGACGATATGACCCCATGCCCATTGTTGCTGGTATGCGACGCCACCGAGGATTATCGAGAGCATGGTAATGATCATGTAGATGAACAATGCGGGCAGTCGCATCTCCGCTTCGCGTACACCGCCGTTCTTACGCGCTGCGCGAGCAGATACCCAGTCGGAGTATGGACCTGCCGTCGCCAGACCAAACAGTGCACCTACTGCGAATGCGAAGTTTGTGTAGCCGACTTGGTCTGGCTTGAAAAGGTAAGGTGGTGCGGCGAGCACTGGCGACTCTGTGAGGTTGAAGAAGAGGAGGATATCAGCTGGTCCAGCAAGCATCAGCCCTGCCCATAGGATGATTGGGTTGAAGAAGACTTTGATCGGCGTCCAAGTGTCGCGCACAACAAACATCTTCCACCGAGCATCTGGCTTCATGAACGGCATGAACTGCGCACGTGAGGGGCGCCCTTGCACGGCAATGGGTGTCTCTAGCGAATTTCGTTCGGAGTCTTGAATCCCAGCCTGCGTCGTCTGCTTCTCAAGGTTGCTCTGGCCGTCGCTGCTGACGTTGTCGCTACCAGTCTGAATGATGAACGTCGCATTACCGCGATGGTACTTTGTCTCAGGAAAGGTGAGTGCGATGAGGATAATGGAAACACCGGACAATGCTGTTTCTAGCCAGAAGAATGACTGCCACCCATAGTGGGCTGCCATAGATCCCGCCATGATTGGACCAAGGAAGGCTCCCATGAAGTAGCCAGTGCTACATGACATATTAAATACTGTACAATGGCGTGGAGCAGGCATTACTCACAAATAAACTCCGGTCCAGAGGCCTCTCTCGTGCTGGTAGAAGACGTCCGCAATCATCTGCACAGGGATACTTTCGCTCGTCGCACAGACCAGACCGTTTACGGCACGCGCCGCCAGCAGACTGCTATGACTGGTTGCCAATGCCTGCCACACACATGACAACAGAATCAGTACCGAGAATACCAGGCTGACAGCGCGTCTACCAAAAATGTTGGAGAGCGGCACGATGATGAAGTTGGCGAAACCGAGTGTGATGACGGTGATACCAGTCAGCATAGCCAACTGGTTGTTGTTGAGATGAAACTGCGCACCCAAGAGAGGGAACATGGGCGCAATGGACAGAGCACCAGTGACGGAGATCCAAGTGAAGAGCCATTGCGAGGCCATTACCATGACTGAGAAAGCTGTAAGCGGATTCTAAACCCTGTGGTAAGGAACAACGTACGCTTCCATTTCCGGGTCCAGTTCAAAGGGTCGCGGGGATCAGAAGAGGGCGTGGGTATCAATGTCTTCTGTGCTGAGCTGTCCTGGACGATCTCCGTGCCAGGTATGAGCTCAACGTTGCTGTGGTCAGTCGCCATCTTGAAGCTGCTTTACTCGTCGCAAATTGTTTACTTAGATGTTGAGCAGTCCAGCATGAACCTGCAGCGAGGATGCCATCTTATAGTCCTGTAAGCACTCGGCGTATTCGCGGTCTATGGTTCATCAATGCCTGGTAGACCGCGGAGGAGGCACCGCTCGGCATTGATCCCAATGCGGTGAGATATCACTTCATGCGCGATCAGCAGTCAAGATTGATTCTCCCTACGCACCAGATGTGTCAGCTACTGCAAAATCTAGCTAGATCAGCGAATGATAATGTAGTGAAATGAACGATTATGGGCAAGTCGAGGCGACTGGGTCTGTTCGCACTTCCGTAGTGTACTCTTGAATCCTTGCTCAACGGGCATTGGCAAAGCTTCGGCTGGTCAATGGTTGGCCGGCAGATGCTATCAACGCTATCAAACGCATGCATGGAGTCGGGAGGACTTTAGGAAAGGTCCCCTGTATAGTTTCTCAACCCGCCGATCCCACAACCTGCATGATGTGAGGTACAAGGCTGATGCCCTAGAGCCCTATCAATAAGCTCGTGCATAGTGCATAATGACCCTAGCTGCAGCCGGACCATGGGCGACTGTTCTGACGAGTGTTGAGCTTTCCTCTCTGGCTTGCACTCCTCTTTACAGATTCAAGGGCCTTGTTCTTCTCCCTTCTCCACAGAATTTGCTCTCAAACAGCACGATAAGGCGTGGCGCGTCGCAAACCTCCTCTTCCTACCTCTTACTAAATGTATCTTCGAAAATGTGGCAAATGTGAAGCTTTACTGTTTTCGGCATTGAGAGTGGAGACCCATTGTGGTGGTGGCGGGCACCATTCGGGAGGTCGCATCGGAGAATGCGGGGAGGCGCGCTGACGGACTCCCGTAGCCTCACTTGGCGAAGCGACTTGTCATTCTTTATTCAACCTTGAACTTCTCGACTATAACTGTTTTTCGTCAAGTCTGAAATTCGCGCGACACTATCGACTGAGATTGATTCGTTTTCTGGAAAACGGAACTTTCCGTTCAAGTTGTCATGAAGCGTTCCTCTCAGAACGACGATACGTACCAGCCATATACATGCGACGTTTAGCAAGGAGGTATAGGCTTCTTCGTCTATGTCTAGAGGTTTTTGAGGGATATAAGACAGTGCAGGTGTCCCCAGAATGACTGCGTGATCAGATGGGAAGCCATGATAATTGAAAACACCCCGAACGAACCACGAGGGCAAGTTTTGCCGCGACATCCGGCACATTGCTAATCCAGAACGAAGTAGCAACTTCAAATAGTTACACAAAGCAAGTATTGGCCAAAGTTACTTCGCAATCACTTCGAAGCCCTATCTGATTTTGACAGGGTATCACGGATGGCCAGATGTCGTAAAGCCATTTTCCATGTCTTTTCACTTCCTTCGAAATTGCTCTTGACTTAGAGTTTTGCTGAAACTCCCAAATCGATGACCGGCGTTCCAAGAAAGATACGCTTGTCCATGCATGACAAACTCTTCCAATCCTGAGAGCGTGCGTGTTTTTGCGGAGAGTGTGCATTCATGCGAATCCATCGTACTGCAATCTCTCGTGCAACAGCATCTGGGTTGGCTTGCGCATCGTACATCAACACGGCAGCACTAACGATTACCATGAGGTGTTCGAGAATTTCTCGTCCGTGGTATAGGAGCTCTTCTTTCTGCGCATCATGGACAAGTTTGTTGAGAGCCTGAAGTATATCCTCGACGATTGGAACCTGATCATGAAAGGTAGACGAACATTGGTCGAGCAAGTCTTTGATCCATGGCGCGAACACGTTGTTCAAGATATCACCATCGCCCAACCGCTTGTCAGTAAGCACTCGAACGACGTCCTCAGCCATAACGCTGACGGTACCTTCCCATATCGGATTGACGAGATTATCGCGGTAAATCTTCGCAATGTTCATCAAGCCGCCGTCTTCGTTGTTCTCGCAGTATCCGACACCGCCGAGGCATTCCATACACTGCCGTAGCCCATGAACGGATGCCACACTGACTTGGGCTTTCATCGCAGGCAGCAGCAATCTCAACAAAGCCGCTACCGTAGTCTTGTTATTTGGTATCAACCTCGCTGCTTTCGTGTTTGCAACCATTTTGTCCCAATCTTGTTCCAGAGCGCCTTGCAGGGCAACACCGAGGTACGTGAAGTGCGTATTAGCCCAGTATCTGACCGTCTCTCCAGCCATCCACGCCAGATGTGCAGGGTTGGCCTGGAGTAATTCACCACGAACTTTGCGTACCTTGCTATAGGCACGGCAAATAGCCAAACCACGTCCCCAGTTCGCAACGCTGCCCCCTGCAGTGTGCAATCGCGTGATATTGAGGATAGCGGATATTTCCTTGACGCCTTGGCCTTCAGTACCGATGAGCCATCCACGCGCACCATTCAGTTCGAGCTCGGCAGTTGGCAGTGACTTAGTTCCTAGCTTATCCTTCAGACGCTGGATGCGAACACCATTGAGCTCAGTTTGAGGCTGCACTTCTTCATTCATAGAATCGGAACCCAGCGATTGAGTACCCACCCTTCGACGCATGGGTATGTAGAATGCCGACAAGCCACCTTTGTCTGTACGTGCAAGAAGTACAGCCATCTCAGAGTCTGTTGCGCTGCTGAACCACTTGAAGCCATGTATCCTCCAAGGGCCTAGTTGCATACCGACTGCATCACGGTCTCTTCCCATCTTTCTATCTTCAGCCAGTTCCTGCGATGTCATACGTGCAGCAAATGTTTCTGTGCCGGATACATCACTGCCACCGGATCGCTCCGTCATCCATTGCCCACTTGTCCAAGCCACATCCGGGTCGCGACTGCAAAGTCGATCGTACGCTTCTCTTAGTACTTCGCCTCGTCCTGATTGATCCCCATCAGAATCATTCTTGTGCTTGTCTAACAGTGTCGCAGCGCCATCAGTCATGCTTTGAGGGCACCCGGTCATGGTACCAGTCGAGCTCCATACATGATTTCCGACAAATTGTTGCACACGCCTGTTGAAGGTGATATGGGCTTTGTCGTAAGCCACCGAGACCACCCCCTCTTGGTATCCAACCTCTTTCAGCTTCTGCCACCCAGACGTCGTCCACAAAGGATCAATCTTGTTCTCTGCACCGAATGTAGAGAGTGGCCGTAGTACCGGATGTTTCGTCTCCGCGTCCGTGGCATACTTCAAGATAGATGGCTTCAACGCTAGACGTGCTAGATGGTGTACATGCTTGGTTGCTTCCGTTGCATTTTGTGGTAAGTAGAGATCCAATATTCGCACGACGACCTTATCGTCCGAGGCCTGCAGAGAGTCCGGATATCGAGACTGGAGAGCTTCTGGAAGGGAAGATAGATTGGTGTATTGTGGTGGTAGTACCGGAAGAGCTTGGAAGAAGCCAGCGGTTGAGGAGGAAGCAGAGAATGGCTGTTGCATCATGCTGGCATATGCGACACCAATGACTTTGGAAAACTGAACGTTGAATTGGAAAAACACACGATGTCTGTACGCGTGACTGAGATATATCCCAGATTCTCGGATATCCAGGCTGATGAGGAGATCCTCGGTTCACCCCGCAAAATGCCCAATCCGGCAGCCATAGCCGGATTAGCAGCAACATCGGCCGAGGGCACCATACGACCAAGCTCATTGTAGTTTTTGAGACTTTTTATCATGAAAATGTGCAGGCTGATGGCCGTCGTAGAGCAAGACGATCACTCTTGTTGCCTACTTAGGTGCCGTCTCCTCTGTGAATTTCCAAAATCATCTCCCGGTACACCTCGGCTTGGAACTCATCCTCCGATATTCCATACATGCCGATGGTTACAGCAATCAATACTACGCTGATACCATGATCGGTTGGGACCAAAACAAGCCTGTCGGTAATTTAAGAAGCGAAAAGCTTGTCGTGATTTGCCTTCGGTACTATCGTTGCAACTGCCGACACTCGATGTTAATTAAAGCCTTCATCCAAATGATCAAGTCGGGAGATCGCCACAGGTTTGTTGCTGAATGAACGTCACAAGATGTGCGACTACAGACTTCTCGGCGTTCTCATTGGCATGAGCAAGAAAAGAGGTATTGTCACTGTCACACTCCAATATATTGGATGATAGTAGCCACCAGTGTACACTTGCTGTCATGTCTGCTGCTTGGCTTAAAAAGCGGTCGAACCATCGACTTGGTGTTTCTCGCAACTCTCCAGTAATTCGAAATATTATTGTTGCCATGATTTGGTCCACCATCGCCGCCGGCGCTCTGTTGACGCAAAGCGTCGCTGCACAGAATATGCTCCGTTTTGCATGTTCGCAACTCACCGTCGAGAGAGCTGATCCGCTGGTGAATCCTGGTCAACGACCCTCACCACACACGCATCAGATCATCGGAGGAAATTCCTTCAACCTTACTGTACGACCTGCCTGCCTCGTCAGCCAGACATTCACTAACGTGTTGCAGATGGAGCCCGGCGTCTTTGATCCTCCAACTCGTTCAACCTGTACATCCTGCACGTATAGCGAGGACTTCAGCAACTACTGGACTGCCTCGCTGTACTTCAAATCCCCCGAGAACGGTACTTTCCAGCGTGTGCCACAATTCGCCAACGTAGGGCTCCAACAGGATGGCGGTATGACGGTATACTACATGCCGTACTCTGCCAAGAACAATAAGATGACAGCCTTCAAGCCAGGGTTTCGCATGATTGCGGGCGATCCCATGGCCAAGAAGCCCAACAAGGCAAGCATCTGCCACAGATGCTTGCAAAATGGTGAAGGCTTTGCGCCGTGTGATGCAAAGGACACTGCGGAGCTGCCCAACAAGTACTGTCCTGGTGGAATTAGAGCGACTATCATCTTCCCTTCTTGCTGGGACGGCAAGAACCTCGATTCCCCAGATCACAAGAGCCACGTCGCGTACTCGAACAGCGGTGGTCTGGGTACTCCAAACTGCCCTAGTACGCATCCCGTGGCCATCCCACAAGTAATGTACGAGATCATGTGGGATACCGCACGGTACAAGAACAACGCCTGGTACGGTGCTGGAAAGCAGCCGTTTGTGTACAGCTTTGGTGACGGGTGAGTGCTCTCCCTTATGCTTTTACAACGGCGATTAACTTGCAACAGTACAGGTTACGGCCAACACGGCGACTACCTCTTCGGCTGGAAGGGTGACTCGCTACAGAAGGCCATGGATGCTTTGCCCAGCGGCAAATGTGCCAATGCTAATTGTCAAGTGCTCAAGATCCAGTCTGCACAAGACTCGATGAAGTGCAAGAAGCCACAGCAGGCGGTTGAGGATGTTGGTGTGAGTGGCGACTGGCTGACGGAACTTCCTGGGGGTATGGCGGTTACTTACTGATGTTATTCTCTTCGCTTTACTGCTAGCACGACTGTCGGCAAAGATCACAATCTTCACCGTACGTTGACGTAACCAAGTTGCTGCCAAATGGTTATGATCCGCAATACGTGACATAGTACCAACGAGAACTTCAGTGCCAGTGACGTTGAGACAAGCTCGAGCGATATGCGGCCAGCCCCACGCCAGATCTGGTTATGTGGCGCTCGCGTTGTCGAGATGCAGCTTGTGCGAGTACCGAACGCACGCTGGGAGCTTTAATGCGACACGTGACATACTTGTTTCGTCTCTGGCATGAGCAGCCGAATGTAGTGTTGTCTCGACGCGTCGCGAGCACGACGGTAGGCTTCCAGCACTGCACAACGCGTTCTTAGCCCGCCTTCTTCCGTGGAAAGAAAGAAATCCTCATTCTGAAGCTTGTGTGAGATAGTGGGGGTGCATCTTGGATTTTCGCTTGAGTCGCGGGATGGATGTGTGTTGTTTCTGTTGAGATGCCCGAGGTTTACCGACGTTCGCCCGTGAAGGAATGCCTCTAGCCCGCCAAGCTTACCCCTCATTCATCCATCTACCCCGAGCCTTTCTCACGATCCACAGCTACCCCGAGGATCCGGAACATCATGAGATACACCCGCAAATTTTGTGATTCGAGGAAAAACTCGTCATCGTACTCGCATGCGATTTGAGCCGCAACTGCACGGCCGTCAACATGCTGCAGCCGTGGCAACAGCAGCCTGGGCCCAACAGGTTGCGCGGCATATGGCGCGTAACGGAAGACTGGAGCCGCATCGAGATCAGCCTGAGTACTCAATATCTTGAGCCTCATCCCACGTTGAAACTCTCGAGACCAAAAAAGAAATGGCCACTTCCACCATGAGCACTTTCGCCAACCCAGTCCTCACAGGCTTTAACCCAGACCCATCTGTCATCCGCGTTGGTGACGACTACTTCTGCGTTACCTCATCCTTTGAATACTTCCCCGGAGCGCCCATATATCACAGCAAAGATCTTATCAAATGGAAACTAATCGGCCACGCACTCACGCGCAAGTCTCAACTCGATATCAGAACCCCGGAGCCAGGAGGTGGTGTCTGGGCAACAACCATTCGGTACCATAAGGGCACTTTCTACATCATTACCAACTCTTTCGACCGATACAGACCGCAGAACGATGATCGTGTATGGCCACGTGGCTTTTATGTCAAAACCACCAATATCTGGAACGAGAGCTCGTGGTCTGACCCGGTGTATTTTGATCAGGTTGGTTTCGACTTTGACCTTTTCTGGGACGACGACGGTCAGGTGTATCTCTCTTCGACTTACCGGAAGGTTGATCGCTCCTCGGATTCGAAACTGAAAGACTTTGCCATACACGTGTCTACCATTGACCTTGCTTCGGGCACCTTGAAATCCACGCCAAAGATGATCCGGGAGTCTAAGTCAGGTATCGCAGAAGGCTCGCATCTCTTCAAACTGAACGGCTATTACTATCTCTTCACGGCGGAAGGAGGTACTGAATCAGGGCACTGCGAATATGTGAGCCGGAGTCGCGAGAGCCCTTTCGGACCGTGGGAACAAGCACCACATAACCCACTTTGGCGCAACACAACAGACGATGAGATCCAGAACACTGGTCATTGTGATATTGTTGAGGATACCCAAGGCCAATGGTGGGCCATGTGCTTAGGCGTACGGCCGAAGAAGGAAGGTGCTGAATGGCGAACGTCAGTTTTCGGACGCGAGTCCATGCTACTTCCGATTCGCTGGGAGAACAACTGGCCGATATTCAACGAGGGAAGGCCAGTCGCCTTGCAAATGAGCGGACCAAACAAGTACATGCTTGATGAGGACAAGGCTTGGAAAGACAACTTCAGTGGTGTTAGACTTGGTCTTGGGTGGTATCGGAAGAGTGAGCATCTCAGAAGCTGCTCTGAGAAACACTACTAACGCATACGTAGATACACCTGTGAGGAAAGACTACTCAATGACAGCGCGACACGATTACCTTACTTTAAATGGTAGTCCCTACACGCTATCGATGCCCACATGTCCAACGCTGTTCTTGCGGAAGCAAAGACATTGGCCGGTGGTGTGGGAGACTCAAATAGATTTCCAGCCTGATGTGCCGCGCGTTGAGGCAGGAACAGTGTTATGGTGGAATCATACTTGCTACGCCAGCATTGGTATCGCGCTCACAGATCGCGATGGTCGACAGCAACGCGTGGTTAAGCTTACGCGACCGGACATGGAAATTGTAGAGCATGTTATCTCAGAGAAGGGCGAGGTGAAGCTTGTCATCGATAGCACTGCCACAAGCTACCGATTCGGATACCGGCAAGCCGACGATGGTCCGCAGCAGAAGACAGAGTGGACATGGCTAGGCGACATCGATACTCAGGTCATGACACGCAATCCGCCCGTTGGTCAGCCTTTCACTGGCATGATGATGGGACTATACGCATGTGGCGAACTACAGCCTGTTCTGACCCCGGCGCACTTCAAATATGCTCAGTTTCGATAACTCCAAGAGTTCATCGCCATCTTAATACAGTCTACTACATAGCTAGTGCCGACAAGATACTGACTTCAATTCCTACGAGATCCTGTGATAATTTCTCTGAGCTCAATTGTGCAAATAGCTCACTCGGTTGGACTGACTCTCTCAACTGTCCTCGCTACTGTATTCCTAGCAAATGATTCAGCGATCAGCACCGTTGCCGGAGTAGCCATGGAGATAGCAGAGCTGCTTGCTGGTCGTAATATCGACAACCGCATGATGCCTTTTAGCAGTTTTAGGGCCTGCGAAACACTCAAGCGTCTACACCGTCAAGTCGTGGCGAATGTGGAACTGCAGCACTTACCGAAATCCAGTTACTACGACGTGTACCTGAACGCCTTGAACTCGGAGCTGTTCGTCACATCGCAAGGTCGATACTCTCAAATTCACCGTAGGAGGCCTATACCTCCCATAGCTCCCATGTAGTAGATAATCTTGAATATACGCTCTCCAGGATTCCGCCAATCAATCAATTGGGGTGATATCTGACCCCGCGACCCATGAAGCTTGATAATTGTTGGGTGATCATACATGTCTGAGCTACGAGCCGTCTGTTATGACTGAGCTCAATTCTCTTGATGAGTAATTACACCATGCAAGGCCCTAAGGAGGTACAGTGGATCTAGAACTTGGTGATTACATCGCCAAGAAGTCTCGACGATTGCTGTTTAGTATTTTGTGATCCGGAATCAAACTTGATACTCATCATATTCTAATCATACCAACTATTACTGGTTCCAAGTGCGACACAAGGACGAGACGTCGCTCGGAAATCACGCCATTCATCTCCAAAAATCCGTTTGAACGGTTTCCTCCTCATTTGCAGGAGATTATGCCATCGCTAGCGGCGTTGGTAATCCGGTAGTTGTGAGTCACTCATCAACTACGAACCTCGCAGTACCATGAGATGATGTTATGAATCCACAGAATACTTCCGTTCGTTCGGACGAGTACAAGAAGGGCGGTTCATCGCGTAGACGTCGCTAAATCAATCACAACAAAACAGTCAAGCGACTAACAATAGTCCTCCATCGTGGAGATAAACACACGTTCATACTTCGCCATGATGCTTCATCAAGGTCTCCCTACATGGGCCACCTTGCTACTTATTTCAACCACTGCTGCCCTCACACTACCTAACTACCGAGGCCTACGGATCGACCAGTCCAGACAAGGTGTTCTACATATCGCTTTCAATAATCCTGACTCAGAAATCAACGTCTGGGGTGAGGATGCCTTGAAAGGACTGACGGACATCGTACAGAGGTTGCAAAATGACACCGAGACGAAAGCCATTCTGTTCACGAGCGATGTGCCAAAGTACTTCTTAGCCCATCTCGATGTGCTGAGCCAGCCGCTCGGTAAGTGCCCCTCATAAGCAGTGCCTCCGTTCAGCTATATCCTCCATCTTCCGCTACAAGTTCTCCATCTCTTGGACAATGCTAACAAACGTAGACCCGACCATCTCCCAAAGATCCGTCGAGCTCTTCTACAGCCTGACCAATCTCCCGCAAGTGACAATTGGTGCAGTCAACGGTGTAGCCCGTGGAGCCGGAAACGAATTTCTCCTCTCCCTCGATATGCGATTCGCCGTAAAATCGCACTCACGTTTCGGACAGCCCGAGATCGCCACTGGCTACCTCCCTGGTGGCGGAGCGCCCCAGTACCTTCCGCGGTTGATCGGTCGTGGACGCGCAATGGAATACATTCTCACTGGCAAGGACATTCTGGCAGAAGATGCTGAGCGTATGGGCTGGATCAACAAGGCTTTTGACAGCGAGCGCGAGATGAAGGCATATATCGACGATATGCTCAAGGTTTTGACACTTTATTCTACTAGGGCCATCGGGCTGAATAAGAACGCTATCAATGTGGCAAGTAGACCGCCGATCGCGAACACTCTAGCTGACTCCAATGCGTTCTCGGAGAGTGCGGGGCGACCAGAAACACAGAAACTCTTAGGAGATTTCTTAGAGTTAACGCAAAATCTTTCGGCTACTGATGTTGAGCTATACCTGGGTGAGAGTGTACCTTTGCTATATAATCTAAGTGCGTCTTGAGAACCTCGACAGACGGGGGATTAGCATTACATGTAGGAGGATACAGTGATAGACCGTCGTTCACTTATGGATGTGTGTTGTTCTTCATGCAGTGGGCCGATAAGTCATGTATTGTAGCAGCACACGGAAGCTAGCCAATGTAGCTCGTCAAGTGCGCACTAAATTCTTGTCGTGCTTATCAAGCTCTAATAGCGTCCGCCAACGGCTGAAACCAAGTCTCGGCCAGCTTCTTGTTGCCTGTATCATTCGGGTGAACACCATCGCCAGTCATTGTATTAGTGTTGAATCCAGTCCATGTATCCACAACCGTTATAGGGCTGTTTGTAGTCGTCTTACTTGCTGCCCACGTCTGGATCACGTTGTTCAGAGCTACGACGCGTGGCCCACAT